AATTTCTTTCTATTTTTAGTAGAGACGGGGTCTCACTCTTGCTCAGGCTGGTCTCAAACTCCTGACCTTGAGCGATCCACCCGCCTCGGCCTCCCAGAGTGCTAGGATTACAGGCGTGAGGCACTGCGCCTGGCCGAAAATACTGTATTTTTGATCTGCATTTTGGTTGGGAAAAAATCATGATTAAGTGGACCGCCACAGTTCAAACCCACATTGTTCCAGGGTCAACTGTATTTACGACTTAGTACACACAGATGACTCACATAGTCAACCTGTCCAGAAGCACCTGTATGCACATGCACACGTGCACACATACACTCACACAAAGTGATCCACATTCACACACACACCTCAAAATAATTTCTTGTAGTTTTAAGAATTTCACAGTCAAGGAAATATTTTTAACACTTACTGAAGAAATTCCTTTGCAATAAATCACTTGTGAAACCTGAAATCTTCACAGCCCTAATTTTTAACCCACTCAGCTTTATGTTCATTTGTACAATGATGGTTCCTTGCCTTCAAAGTAACGTGCTCAGTGAAAATCACAGAATTAGAATTCATGATTTAGGGACAAAGGAATACAGGTGAACCAAAAACAGAAAATCAAAGAGTAGCTACAAAGCTTGCCTCACTAAAAGCATTCTTGCAAGTTTAATTTAAGGTGATGAACAGTTATCTAGGGCAGGACCCTCCCACTCACAGGATTCTCACATTAGGGAACATATCCCAAAGAAAAGACAATATTGCTTGAGGGGAGGGAAAAAAACAACTTGAAAATGAAGCCCCTTTACACTGCTTTGAATATATGAAAATAAATCCGCTTGCCCTCTACTCTGTCCATACATTCTCAATCCTTCATACAGAACACTTTCTGGCCTAAATATCTAGTTACGCATTTCTGGGAAACTATTTTATTTTTAACGAGGAATATCCCTGGGAATCTAAGTCCTAAAGAGCGACCTGCTCGTGCTAATCCAAACAGAAAAGAAATTTCAGAACCCTGGGGGATCTTTGCTACCTGGTAGCTAAGTCTTTCATAAATGGTTGTAGGAGATGGAAATCTTTGTATTTCTTTTTTGTGTTTGACTAATTTTTACCCATCATATCACTTATTAAAGCAAAACAGCATATATTCCAAAAAGGGAGAAGGTCCAACATAAACCAAAAAATCAAACATCCAGAATCCCTTTCAATTGTAATCCATATATAAATATTTTATCATAATGGTTCTAGCAATTAATATTATTTCTGTATTCTTATCCTGCATTTTTCACTTCATATCATACCCAGTTTCCTAATTTTTACAAAAT